ACCATAAGGTTCCAGAAAGCTGAGCAGGAATAATGTGAGGCAAGGAGCCAACAGCCTCCTCACAACTTACCAACTCTGACAATTTCCAACCTCCAAGACAACCCTAGGAGATGCAGAGAGATGGAGGAGGTGGGCTCTACCTGCCCCCCAAAACACACTCCTCTGAGTGTTTTTATTGCCCTAAGCAACAGAGTAGCCTATACTGCTATTTCCTGCCCTCTAATCTCACTCCTTTCCAGTTGATCCTTCTAAAGGAGAGAGGGCAAAGGCCATCCTCAGACTCCCCACCAGCCCCCCTCTGACTTACCCTGCTCAGTTCGGTCTTTCTAAACTCTAGCTTTGATCCTGCTGCTCTCGTCTTCCAGTGTCTCCATGAAGCACAGGAAATGAAGTTTAAATGCTGTGGTTGTCTGGAATGTATTCTGGCCCCAAGTTCTGTTCCCAGCTCTATCTCGTGTTTCTCTCATATAAATCCCCACAACCAGCCAAGTGGGGCTCAGTACTTTTGCTTAGTCCACTTCCCAGACCTGACGTCTGCTGCCTGTCCAGTTCCTACTCATAGTTTAAAGCCCAACTCAGTGCCAGCTCTTCTGTGAAGCAGTTATCCCCTGACCATCCTATCTGGAAGGGATTAAAAAAAAAAAAAGTCCATTCTCTGAATTCCTATAATGCATAAGTGTATGTCACGGGTAAATATCGTTCATTCATTTACTCAATAAAATGCATCCAGATGCCATATGCCAGGAGTTATTCTAGACCAGATGGCATGTCCCACAAAGGAGTCAAGGTCTAGGGGAGGAAAGGAAAGGAATAAATTACCATTTATTGAGTGTTTACGCTAATCAGGTCACGGTGCCATCTATTTCCACATGTCAGCGCAGTTCATCTTCACAACTCAATGGGGTAGCTATTGTTATTCCTTTACCGTAAGAAAGCTGAGTCTCAGACTTCAATAACTTGGCAAGGATTACCACATGTGTTTTTTATTCTCCACTGTCCTCGTCCCCTCTCAGACTCTCTGCCCCTCTCGGCCCTGCTCCATCTTGGGGATGCTGACCTCCAGAACCTGCATCACACCTGTGCCCTCTGGCTTCCAGTAGGTTGAGTGAACGGAAAGCAACAGCGGAGCCTTTATTCCCCCTACTCCCTTCCTGACCCGCCAGTTCTGGCCGTGGCTGCACTTCTCAGCCACAACCCCTGGGGAAGCAGTCTTCCATGGCTCCAGCTCTGCTTACCAGGGTCTACTATGTAAGACCACCGCTTCTGCTGCCCTGTCAGGTTAGGAGCGGTAAGTAGGTAGGTAGGCTCCACTTGAAGGCTGGTGAAGTACCTTAGCCCGCCCACACCTCTGAAAAGAGTCCTTTTATTAAAGCTCTTAGTGTGCCAGCTGTTTCCTGCCAGGTAAACAGGGCAGGATTTGAACCCATGTTTGTCTTACTATAGAGCAGGCCTTTTACATTTGAGTCACTGCTGCATTGGAGATCTATACCAAGTGCTGAGGATCAGAATGAAAGGAACCTCACTCTAATAGGAAAGATCCGAAAACAGTTGCTTGATCATGAGTCAGTCTTAACAGGTGAAGTGAAATTCACCAGGCAAACAAAGAGTGAGGATAGGCATTCAAGGCACAGTGGATAGCAAGTTCAAAAAGTCACAGAGTTCAAAAAGTCACAGAGGCATAAAGAATATATCTTATTGCCTACGCAGTTATGTCCAGTGCTCGGGAGAGAATAATGGTGGTTGAAGGTTTCTAAACTTTGATGATAATCACTTACTTCTTCATTGGAAGAAGCAAAGAGTTAGCTAGTTTCTGAGCAACAGCACCAATGTGTCTACGAGGTCTGACAAGTAAGTTTGCGAACTTGTTGCAATGATGTTGCTAAACTTTTTTGATGCCAGAGGGATTATTCATTATGAATTTGTACCAACTGGACAAACAGTTAACCAAGTTTATTTGGAAATGCTGAAAAGTCAGCGTGAAAAAGTTAGACGTCCTGAACTTTTCACCAACAATTCATGGCTCTTGCATCACAAGAATGCGCCAGCTCACACGGGACTGTCTGCGAGGGAGTTTTTAGCCAGTAAACAAATAACTGTATTGGAACACCCTCCCTACTCACCTGATCTGGCTCCCAATGACTTCTTTCTTTACCCGAAGATAAATATTGAAAGACATTTTGATGACATTCAGGACATCAAGGGTAATACGACGACAGCTCTGATGGCCATTCCAGAAAAAGAGTTCCAAAATTGCTTGGAAGGGTGAACTAGGTGCTGGCATTGGTGCATAGCTTCTCAAGGGGAGTACTTCAAAGGTGACTGTATCAATATTCAGCAATGAGGTATGTAGCACTTTTTCATGGATAAGTTTGCAAACTTAATTGTCTGCTCTCATATATTCCTACCTTCAATAGATCCCCATCATGGAAGATAAACCCAACTACTTAGCATAACATACAATCCCTCAATGACCTGGCCTGCCTGACCCATCTTGTCTCAGCTACCAGCACCATGCCAAGCTGTCCGAGTATGCCATACCCTTTCACGCCTCTGTGCTTTGGTACATGTTCTTCTCATCAGAGATATCTACCTCCACTTTCCACCTGATAAACTCCTTGTCTTCAGGACTCATTTCAGGTGTCTGCTGCTCTGTAAATATTTCTGGCCTCCCAACATGCTTCCACAGTGTCTTATGCATTACCCTACAATAGCATTTTCATAACACAGACATGCGCTGTATTTTACTCGTTTGCATGTCTGTCTATTGACTCAACTGTGAGCTCCTAGAGACCAGGTACTATAAGAAGGTAGCAGATTGGAGAAGTAAGTGCTTGGGCTCTGGAGGCAGGCTGCCTAGATCCAAATCCTAGACTCTGAACCCAAACAACAAGGTAAACTTAGGCAAGTTATTTACCCTCTCTGGGCCTCAGTTTCATCATCAATAAAATGAGAATATCAACATCTACCTCGAGGGGTTAAGTGAGTCACATCGAATAATTTCTGTTACACAGTAAGCCCTCCATAACCATTAGGTATTGATACATACCTGTGTATCCCCTATTTCCTGTATAAAAAGGCTTATGTTCGTTGAATGAGTAAATTCTCCTACCATTTCATACTGCCCCACATAGGTATTAAATTCTACATAGCCTTTGTTTTATTAAATCATGAAAACAAGATTCTCATCTCTAAATACGTACTTATTTTACAAATGGTAAAAGATAAATTCCTTCTCTGTAAAGGAATTTAGCTTCTGGCCATTGTCGCAGGCAGGGTCCCTAAGTCAGACATTCTCCTGGCTTTCTAGCTAGCTCCACACATGCCTACCATCCATTTACCCCCCAGACGGGCAGTTCTTTGTTAATAATTTACATTGTTAATAGTTTACAAAGACTTATTATCAAGTCAAATCTTGATGGCTCCCCTAGGTTGGCATGAGGAACAACCAATATAGATTCCCTACGGTATAGGAGTGAACCACAGGCAAACTTTTTTTAATGCTAAAGGAATGCAAAATTATTGTGGTCATGAAATGTTTTTTTTACAAGCTTTAACGTGGCATTTTCTAAGCCCAAATCCTTAACTGTCACAGCCTTGGTCAAAAGTCCATGTGTCAAAACCCCAATGAAGAATCAGAGCCCACAGAACAATACGCTCAGGAGGTGAGCAAGAGGTGGAGACCAGCTCCCAGCTGAGCCCCACATTTCCCAGTTAAGGCAACATGGCAACCAACACAGACATGGGGTAGTCGGTTAGACAAAGGACAAAGCTACGGTCTTAAAACAATATAAAGGCTGCACGCGAGAAGCCCAGTGCCCTTACAGAGTCACTCTGGCTGGCTGCAGAGGCCAGCACAGGCCTCACTGGCCCAAAAGCCCCCTGGAGAGGTTCAGCTACCACACCAGACTCCAGGCCCACCTTTCTCCCCATGCTGCTCCCATCCTGATACTGGCTTTGTTGTCACCTGTCCTCACCAACACTGATCTCGTCATTACCGTACCTCAGCTTGTTGGCCCCATCCTCAGCCTAGACCCTGGTTCTAAAGGGGTTCGGAATTCACCAGTTTTCAAATCGATGTCTGATAGTGACTAACTCTGGGCTCTTTGACAACGCTCTGCCCCAGCACTATCTTTTTTTTTTCAACTATAGTTGACATTCAATATTATTTTATATTAGTTTCAGGTGTACAGCACAGCAGTTAGACATTTATATAATTTAAGAAGTATTCCCCCTGACTATTCTAGTACCCACCTGGCACTATGCATAGTTATTACCATATTATTGACTATATTCCCTATACTGTACATTACATCCCCATGACTGCTTTGTGACTACCCATTTGTAGTTTTTTGGTTTTTTTTGTTTTGTTTTTTTTTAGCTGAGCCATCCTGCTACCTATTGGCAGCTTAGCGGCTGCTCAGCTCGGGCTGGCCTCGAACCGCTGTTGCTCAGAGCTCAAACTCTTGAGCGAGCTCTTAACCAACTGAGCCATTTGGCCGGCCCCCCATTTGTAGTTTTTAATCCCTTCACCTTTTCACCCATCCCACAACCCCACTCCCATCTGGCAACCATCAGTTTATTCTCTGTATCTATGAGTCCATTTCTGTTTATTTGTTGTTGTTCTGTTTATTTTGTTCTTTAGATTCCACATATGGTGTTTGTCTTTGTCTGATGGAAGCAACTGAAATGCCCATCAATAGACGACTAGATAAAGATGATGTGGTACATATATACAACGGAATATTACTCAGCCGTCAAAAAGAATGAAATCTTACCATTTGCGACAGCATGGATTGACCTAGAGGGTTATTACGCAGAGCGGTATCTGTGAAACCACATTCCTTGCTGGAACTCATATGAGCATACTGCCACATGGTGAGGGTAACAACAGGAAAACCTAATTACTGAAAATTAATCTGATAATGCTTTAAAACTAAGAGAATGATAACACCATTTGACAGTGTATTTAATATTCTTATAAAAGATAGTTCTCTACTTACAGGCCTTCTGGTTGCAGCACTTTGAATGGAGTGATAAAATTCTGGCTGCACTCGGCTATTCTTCTTGATTCTTCGTTTCCTCGCTGAACTTTCTTGCTCGCTCTGATGGTGAACTTCCACCACAGGCTTGGCTTCCTCCAGGCGGGCAGCTGCAGCCGCTGCAGCTCGTCTTCTAATATGCCGAGGGCTTGCTCTGAATCCCTGTGGCAGAAAACACAACCAGACTTGTACTGAGTGAGTCTGGAAATTCTCTGGGGCTAGTTATACAAAGGGCTCCAAACGTCACCAAGCTCAATGAGGTCGCTTACATTCCCAAAGTGAGCACATAGACGGTGGTTCAAAATGCCAGTGAGATTTCTCCACCAGTGTTCTTGAAAGCACCTCAGTGTGTCAGGGCCCAGAGTTATTCCAAATTAGGAAATGTTTTCAGTCCCATAAAACCAGCCCCCCACTCTCAAAAAAGGGCAGATGGGCACATTGCTTTACTTGTATAGATAGAAATCCAGCTACCTATGAAGAAGGGTATTTCCGCTTAGGCATGAAACAAGGTACAGGGAACAGGACTGAGTATAATAGTCCTGGGTAAAGTGCCACTCTACATTCCTGAGAGCAGACTCTTTTTTAAAAAAAAGGAAAGCAGAAATACAAAGAATCATTCTAAAATACCATAAAGTGAAGCTCTAAAACTAAACGGAGACAATACAGTAGAGTGAAGAGTCTGGGTTTTGGGGTTAGATGGGCCTGGGTCTGAACACGATCTGTTAATTATAGCTACACATTTATTAAACATTTATGAGTTTAACTTTTCTAAGCTAAGAAATGGTAACATTTGACTCACATGGTTTTTAAATTTTAGATAAGGTAATCCACATAAACTTTTAAGCACAGGAGCTGGCAAATACAGGTGCTCAATAAAACATTGATTTTCCTCCTCTTTTAGAGTAAGGTGAATATAAGGACAACTTGCGAGACAATGGACACAAGTTCAGCTGAGACACATTATGCATTTGGGAGTGGGTGAATGATTTTGGAAAATATCAAAGAATTACATAAAATAGTTTCTGTCTCACATGGCTACAATTTACCAGACAGCAGAAAAAGGAGTTGAACACAGAGTTCATGAACACACTAGAGTGTGCAATTAAGGGTTAAAGTGGGCAGTTGAAGATCTAAATGCTAACAGATCTCAGAGAAGGAATCAATAAATAAAGCTGAGAAAAGTCTGTATTAGGCTTAGTGGGTGGGGGCTGGGGGTGACATTTGAAGAATGAGTATAATTTATAGTCCAGGCCAGGGAAATAACATAAGGAATGAATGAATATGTAAAATGATGGATGGGTGGATAGAATATTTATGTAGCAATAAGAAACATTATTTGATGATTTGAGAATGAGAGGACAAGCTACGGATGACGTATGGTGGGAAAGTAGAAGGGATGAGGTGATAATGCTCCAAGGGGGGCTTCTCTGACGTTGTGGGTCTTCTGAATTTTAAAAGCTGCATAAAAACTTAAAGATCGCAGTAAAGGCATAAAGAACGGACAGTAAGAATTTCAGGGGGAGAAGCAGAATGAGAAAAGGCTTGCGCATGATTCTGTGGGGTACTGAAAGATTAATGTGTACGAGGGATTTTCATCAAGGGACATGGGAGAAGGTCTGGAGTCTGAATATGGAGGCCCTGAATCCCAGGCTGAAGGATATGAAGGAGACAAAAGCAGGGGGTGATCCACAGAGTCAAAAGTAGCACTGAGGGAAACAGAAATAAGTCAGGAGGAAATGCACATGGATTTGGCAAAACTGAGGTTGCAGTTCAGGCACTTGCTTCTCATCCCCAAACACACAGCCTGTTCCCATCCTTCATCTGTGTGCAAGCTTTTAAACCCCAAAGATCCCCATAGCTTCCACATAATCCACAAGTTACTATAGCAGCTGCCAGTGAAGAAGATTAAGGAGGAGAGAGAGCTGGGCCAATGGCTAATGATTAAACTGTGTTCTAGAATAGAGTTAGGACCAAATGCGTCATAACCAGCAACCAAATGCAGAGATATCCGTCTGTAGTTTTCTTCTTTGTGTTATCCTTACCGGGTTTTGGTATCAGGGTAATGTTGGCCTCATAATATGAGAAAGGAAGTATTGCCTCTTCTTCAATTTTTTGGAAGGGTTGGAAGAGGACCAGTTTAAAATCATATTTGAATATTTGGTAGAATTCACTAGTGAAGCCACCTGGTCCTGGACTTTTGCTTTTGGGGAGGTTTTGGATGATCGTTTCAATTTCCTTACTGTTGATTGGTCTATGCAGACTTTCTAGTTCTTTGTGATTCAGTCTAAAAAGGCTATATATTTCTAAGAGCTTGTCCATTATTTCTAGGTTATTGAATTTGGTGGCATATAGTCCTTCATAGTATTCTTGCATTATCCTTTGTATTTCTGGTTATTAATGTTAACTTCTCCTCTTTCATTTCTGATTTTGTTTATTTGTGTCTTCTTTTTCACTTAGTGAGTCTAGCTAGAGATTTGTTCCTCCTTCCTTCTGAATTAGACTCACTAGGAGTGAGACCAAGAATCTGATTTTTTAGCAACTTCCCCTGGTAATTTTCGGCATGTTGAAGACAGGGAACCTCTACGATTAGTCTAACCACTAGGTGGCACTAATTTCCACAGCCCTTGCACTGTCTAATTCAGAAATGTGTAAACTGGTAGAATTAAAGTATTTTATAATATACTAGCTTCTGTCATAATGGGATGAGTTGAGTATATGTCTTTGGTAAGAATGCCTATTCTCCTTATCTTATGTTCTTATGAGTAATAAACAACCGAATTTTGCTTAACTTGTATTATTAACAATAGTACTCAGTGGCCTACAAATTCTAGAAAAACTACATAAAACTGTCTTAAATGGAAAAAAATTAAAACATGTTGGTACAGTCATCCTGTAGAGCAATAACCCAGTAAATCTATATCTATATATGTACTTTTCAGAAAATCTACCAAATATATCCAAGAAGATATTCAAGTATTACTTATAATAAAAATTAGAAACAATTTAAATTAGTCTTCCAAAAACTTCAGTCATTTTCATTCCACCTTCACATTTTTTTCAAGATCTGACCACCATGTAGGCTTCTGTGATTTCCATTATATCCAAATGCACGTGTACTATTTTTAAATAACGTTTTACAAGTACAATAGTATAGCACACAGATGGCAACCAGACTATCTGGATTCAAATACTGCCTCTGTCACTTCCTCATGTGATTTTTGGATTGTTACTTAACCATTTCCTCATCTGCAAAATGGGGATTAAAACTAACACTTATTTCATAGGGATGTTGAGAAGAATAAACGAATTAATGTACTCGTATATAAAATACTTAAAAGAGCATCTGGTACATAATGATACATAAGTGTCACCTATGATTATTATGTATATTACTTGTGTGAATAAAAAACATTCTTAAAGGCAAAGTGTGTTATTAATCAGATGTAAAAAGGAAAATGAATCTATGAAGGTGTGCTGACAGACACAAGTGAGGGACTGCCAAGATACCAACCACCCTGATCCTTAAGAATGGGTTCTTTGCTCCCGAGAGTCCCAGGTACTTACTCTCCAGTGAGTCAGACTATCTGGGCTCGAATGCCACCTCTATTACCTGCTAGGTTTGCAATCTTGGCCAAGTTATTTCTCTGTGCTGCAGTTTCTTCATCTGTCAAATGCATATAATGATACCTCTCTCATAGAGCTATGACGGTGTTTAAATGAGATAATCCACATTAGGTACTTAGAACAGTATGTGGATGACAATAAGTAGTCAATAAATTATCATCCTTATTACTACTATTTCTCTTACTTCCTGGATGTTGCAGCAGCAATTCACATGCCAGCGGTTCAGAGGTATGACTCCAAACACTATAAACAACATGAAGTCATCAGTGGGTCACCTTTTTTATTTCCCTAAACCACTGAATTAGAATTATGGGTCCTTGGTTTATTACACTCCCTTGTCCTAAATACTATAAAAAATAAGCCACAACTTTTAACAGAAAGAAATTTTATGTTAAAACAGTAGGTGGTGCTATAGGCTCTTACAGGTGTTAACCAGATTTGATAATGCAATATGAAGTCCATTTCTCTGTCTATTCATTTGATCTTGTCTGGATACCTTTTAACCAATAAGTGATGGACACTAGGAAGTCTCTTGGTAGTTGACTTCAGCCGTTTTTAGGCTAACCCATTTCATCATCACCTCCTGGGTAGTAACTTCCCAAGATGTGCAGTCTTGATACATAGCTAAGTCAGGGGGCTCCACAGCCCACTCTGTATCTTGCTTCGTAATAACCTGGTACAGTTCGTGGGCAGGCACACAGCCAAAGCTCAGCCAGTCCAAGTCTCTCTGATTGGATACCAACTATCACATAGGGGATAGAAAGACTGAAAAAAATCAGAAGGGATTCATTAGTTCTAGTGGCTGTATCAAAGACCTTCCAAAGCTGCCTCGTTTTGTCTGTTCTAACCAGACACTCTGTCTAGATTTTGAGTTCTACCATACATTTGCAATGCATTTTCCTTCAGCTTAAGTCAGACAAAGTCAGATTCTGTTGCCTACAAACAAAAAATCCTGATGCATACTCCTTCTGTTATGCTTTTAGATGGTTATCTGTTTTCCTTTGAGTCTGAATACTCAGACTTAACCAGGCTGTTTGACTGTTAAGCATAAAAAGAAGGAGGCATTAACAGCAATCACATACTAAGCACCATTTAGGTGGCAGGCCTATTATATCCATTTCATAGATAAGCAAACTGAGGCTTATCAGAGTTAAATAATCTCTAAGGTAAAAAGAGTTAAATTTACCTAAGGTAAAAAGTTGCAATTAGAGGGGTGACCGGTTAGCTCAGTTGGTTGGAGTGTGGGCTGATAACACCGAGGTTCTGCTTGATCTCCACATGGGCCACTCTGAGCTGCACCCTCCTTAAAAGAGTCAACCATGCCATTGTAGCATAAAAGCAATGTGTAAACAATGATCATGGCTGTTCCTCAATAAAATTAAAAATAAATAAATAAATATTTTTAAAAATCTGTAATTAGAAAAGCTCGTATTAGAACACAGGTCTAGCTAATGACAAACCAGTGCCTTTTACACTCTGCTCTCAGACAGAGTACAAGGCATTACTAATACATAGAGCTAATCTTCTATATATTATAT